TGAACACGCTCAAACCGAGCAGAGCCATTTCTGAAGGGTGCCAGGTATTCATCCGACCTTCGGACTCCCCCGAACTCAGACATTCCTTGTCCATGCTCCGCTTGATGAAGGATGAGATCATTTACTGGCAGCAATATTAAGCCGGTGGTCAAAGATATTATGGCTCACTGGTGTATAAAAATCCCAGAAAAACTGCGTGTGGGCTCTGCCGGTAATGGACAAAGCAGGACCTTTCACAGGTCAGCACAACTATCTGAGTTCACAGACTAAATTATATTATCCACTTGGCCACAACATTGGATCCACCTGCCTTAACGACTTCAACTAGCTTTGACCCATTGGGCCATGGACAAATGATTCCTGGGGAGGGAGGATCCGAAGCCAAAAAGAAAAAAGAAAATAAATGAACCAGGAGTTTTTTTCCCTTCATGTCCCAATTTCTAAATCAAGAATTTTCCTGGGGTTTGGCTTCTTTATGTAAGCACAGTCTGACACCAAAATTAACCACCGAGATATATTCTTGCTCTTCTCAGGTAATAACCTCACTGGAGACCCACAATAAAATAAGCTTAAGCGGCTGTGTGCACCCTGTATCGGTTATCTAAATACCAATAAATCACTGGTCCAATCGTTTTTCTGCAGTGCACATTATCTGAGGTGAAGTCAAAACACAAACCTTTTACATGCTATTTCAATAAGGTGTGTAGTTGAAAAAGACTAATTTTATCTGCACAAAAGATTAAAGACGCTTATGTCAAAATGGTTACAAGAGTGATTTGCACATTGTGGGTAAGTATTAGGCTGATAGTAACAACAGCCACAGCAGATTTATCATGGATCTTATTGTTTTAGCTATTTTTGATCACTTGAACACAGAACACGATGCTCAATTTCCTGTTTGTACACCATGGGTTGTTCTGACTGTCCTGATTGACAATATCTTTTTTTCTTCTTCTTTAAATCCAAAGCTGTTCAATTATCCATCTGTTTTAAGTTCCATTTTTGGACCATCTAATGGGTTGTCATCAGATACATGAAATCATTTGGTAGACAAAAAGCCAGTCAAATTAAAACGCCCTACAAACCCCCACCCTGGGTGAGACTGTTGTACAGAGGGCTTGTCTCATCTTGAACGGATTAGATTCTGGGGAGCCTGACAGACATGTTTGGGCCACAGTTTTGCTTATGCAATTATCTAATTCAGCTATCTGGTCTATTCCAACGTCAGTTACAATATAAACACATGGAAAGGCTTTAACCCCAAAATGACATCACTACGACACTCGTAGGTGTGTTTTGTAACGCATATGACTGATTTACGACACCCATCTTTGGAAAGTAGGTAGACGAAATGTGATAAAAGGCCATGAGGGGGAAATAAATTCAATATCTTTAAGATGTCATGTAAAAATGCAACTGGAATATTTTCTTATTTAGAGTAAGTTCAGTTTCAGGTCCTCATAGCTATGAATAAAAATGAATGAACAAAAATTGAATGAATAAATACACATATATATATATATCTATCAGGAATGATCACCTAATTTGGGCAGTTTTAAAGGAAATTGTCAAGTTTGTATTACCTGGTAAAAAATAGTTAAGGGATTTCTAGAGTGGTGGTGGGGGGGATTGCCAGCACAAACAGTATAGTATATTGGATGGATTGAAATAATAATTAAGTGAGTGAAATAATTAAATAGCTTTGAAGTTTCTTTAGCGATTTCGTTCAATGCAGGCTATCAAAAGGATCCCCAATTTGTTCCCATTTGTTTGGATGAATGCTAAAGAATGTCCACAAGGCAAAGCAGACAGTTTGCTCCAGCAGTGAGAGTCCCACCGAGGTGCTAGCTAAAATTGTTATGATGTTCAGCTTTTGAACATTTCAAGATATTGCCTGAAGTTTTCGCCTGGAGCATAAAGCCAAAAAGCAAAATCGCTCTGTTTAAAGATGGAATGTTTTTCCAATTTAGATGCCCGAGGAAACTGTTTTGGAAACAACAGGAATGGGGATTCTTTGCATACAGTGTCCTACTGTCTTTAAGAAATCAATTCCTGTGAATTAACACCTCTTTCAGAAATAATTCATGAATAGCACTCAATGTGTGTCCAAAGTCTGTATTAACTTTACTTATTCTATACAAGCCCACTCACAATATCCTCAAAGTACAAAGACTGTAACTCCTGGACCCTCCCGTAACATATTTTATCACTACATTAGTGAGTATCTTTTCACACACCAGCGGGAAAATTGATGGCTCAGAATCCTGAGAAATCTCTTGCTAGAGCTCCGTCTGAGAGTTGTGCAATGTTCGGAACATGCAATATGGGCTCGCTGTGCGAATCTCACCGTCTTCTTCTCACCATTTTTACCCACACTGTGAGTTAGGCTGCTGAAAACACATTGGAAAGATTTTTTTCCTTCTAGACTACTGCATTTTCACTCAAACTCATAACCAGGCATCATTTTTGGAGTCATGCGTGGTATTGTTTCACCATGGGCTAAAGAAATCTGAAAGGAAATAATCAAGTACATCAGCATATTTGCATGTTTTCCTTTTTTTTTTTAACCTTATCTTTAATTTGAATACACTTTAAATAGCGTGTGTATGTACGATTTGCACTTTCTGTTCTACCACTTTGTTTTACTGCATTTTGCTATGATAAAAATTGCCAGGCACACAATTATTTTAAACACTACTGGGAAAGAATTACAGCATAATATGACAATGTATCATAGTGCGCGATAACCAAAGGGTTTCCTTTAAAGGAGAGTTAATACATGTACAATTAATAATGTTTATGAGGCAAAATATATAATATGTTTTCAAATGAAATAGAATCGTAGGTATATTTATTAGCTCGTTACACATTAGTCTTATAAATTCAAGCGGAATCTTCAATAAAAGCCTAACCGAACAGTGAGATTCAGGGAAAATATTAAAGAAAAGCATAAGACAAAAAGAGGATAACAAAAGAGGGAAAAGATGGTTTCTGACGGTTTTTTATGTCCTGCAGGAGCTCAGGAAACCCATTTGACAGCAGTCACAGCACAGTTACATCTTGCTGCAGGATAAAAAAGCCCCCACACTCACTCCCTCTCCCACACCACACATGAGATTCCTCTGCCACTGGCCTCATTTCTGCTTTATTAGCCCCCCGATGTGATTATACACATATATACAGTGGGGATGTTTGGAGAGGGACGACTGGAGTGATGGAAAAGGATGGCATACGGGGAGAGGAGGAAGGGCAGGAGCTGTGGAGGGAGGCTGGGGAAGCAGGGATGTAGTGAGGAACTGAACACTGATGCCGGGATTGTGACTGACAGGGGGGAAGGGACCGGGAGAGAGAAACTCAGGTGTTTGTGAAAGTCTGTGCAAATGTCTTCGGTGGGGTGTGCTGAGGCAGTTGCATCACATCATGTAGCAGAACCACACCGCACCACTATGATGAAAAAATGACAGATCTGTCTCCCTGTTTGTCCCTTGCCTGCACACAAACACCACTCAGTCAGGGCCCCTGAATGTGTTCCTGTCAGCTCCTGAGCAAGCCTGTCTGACAAGCTCAGGTTTAAAAAAAAAAAAGGGGGGGGAAAGCAGATTAATTTTTTTTCCAGCCGGAAAAAAAACAAAAACGTGTTACATTATTGATGTTCGGCTGGATGTCCGGCCACCTTCTGGTGCAGTGCACACAGATATATACAATATGTCATGTTATGTGCGCGTGTACTGATTACGGCATGCTGCAAGTCCAGTGTGCAGATTGGGTCAAACATGCAGCGGGCCTTTGTGTCTCCTCTGAGACTCTAAAATGAATCGCTTTCTGGAAAACATGTCAGTGATATGCGCAGATGGAGATACGATCTGAAGCCACTCCATGTCAAGTGAACAAAAAATGATCAAATTTGGATTTCGGGACCCAATCCATTAGACTTTGGCCAGGTCAATGAAGTCAACCACTGACACATCACCGAGTGTTAAGGGTTTTTTTTCTCCAAAAAGGCGTACGCTCTCTGCACACAGAGGATCATTTGTATGCAAATGGAGAACCGAGTGCACGTCTCCGCACTCTGCATAATGTCTGCGATATTGTTAAGATAACATGTAACCACACAACCTGATTTCAACGGATGTCGTTCCGTGGCGATGAAATGACACGTCTAATGGCGAAGAGTTAGGGTAAAAGTACTGGACAGGATGTCAGCCTCTCGCAGGCACGCGTCAAGAAATGACAAGCGAAACGCGTGCTATTAACACGCGGCATCGCTCGGCGCGCAATAACTGCGGCTTCCCGTCCGACCAGACTGCAAAGGCACATAAATAACACACACAATCACTTCTTCCCTCTATCTTCCTGGCAGGCTGACAGCCAAGAACAGCTTTTGAGCTCCACCATCTCTCCTCTCCTCTCCTCCCGTCTCCTCCTCCTGCGGTAACCATAGCAACTTCCACTTCGTCCAATTCCAGGACAAACTCTGGGAGTCTTTCTCCTCGTTCCACCCAGAAACATTCCTTTGCCGATATCGCCAACGTTTCTCCCCCGCCCCACGCCCGATTCCTTCATGTGCGGCAAAACACCTACGTCTTTCTGGTTTTAAATCAAACAACCTGCTGGCAAAAACACTCCGAGTGCAACTGAAAAACTAAAAGATAGGCGGCCTCTCGTCTTGCCGGGTTGTCCCTCGTGATTGGTTAAAAAGCAAGGGAGCGTGTAGGACCGCATCAACATCAAGCGCCACACCGAGAGGCTGACTTGTAGGATTTAGTCAGCCTCACCTGACGAGGCACTTAGACTTCAGGATGTTGTGCATTTGCAGCACGGTGATGGCGATGGGGGCGGCCTATGTGCGTGTGTGTGTGTGTGTGTGTACCTTGTGTCCTGGTTTGGTTTTGCACGTTAGTGTCAGCGCGCTACGTATCAGGTCGGCCACGTAGTCAATCACTGTCTACAGAACCGGGACACATCTGAGGAACTGACTCACGCTCTTGTCTCTGGATGTGTCACGCTCGGCGGGCGGCTGGGTAGACGGGGGGGAAAGCGCGTGGTGTCTGGGTCAGATTCCGGCCTTTCCCGGGCAGCCGGGCAGCTTTGCTGCTCGGTGGAGCATGATAGCTGGGGTTAGCAGAGCCGTGGTGACAGGGGCCGACTTGGACATGTGGATATACGGAGGTTCTGGAGAGGCGGCGGGATCGTCAGTCTGGGTGAATGTGCGTGCGTTCACGAGTGGGCAGAATCAGATGAATGCATGAGAGGGTGACTGTGGAGTCAGTCCATCCTGTGGCACACCTGAGAAAAAACTGTGTGTGTGTGTGTGTGTGAAACTTTTTAGTTTGCCAGAGTCTATGTTTAAGTTTATCCTCATTTCGATGTCCCTGTCTGTGTGAGTGTGTGTGTGTCTGTGTGTGGGCCCTAATTACTGCAGTGAACAAGGGTGACAGTTGGGCTCCCAGGGTGCCGCAGGGCATCTCCTGTAGTCGTGGCGACTATATGAGGGTGGCGGTACACGCGCATGCGCTCGCCTTCACTCGCCTACACCGTGGCGCACACACACACACACACACGCACGCACCAAGCCCATGCGCACACATTAACTAGGACATTTCTAGATATGACCTCATTCAGTGGGAGGCAGGAAAGTTAACAGAGGCGGGACAGAAGAAGGGTGAAGAAGAAAGAAAAAGTCAGACAGAGATACACTAACAAGATGCACTTGTTGACATCCTGGTGGGTCCACCTCTGCAAGATATCACACATACACACATACACACACACACAAAGCCCGACAAATAGCTTCAGTTTAGTGGAGGATATTATTTTCCTTCGGTTGGGTTGAAAAAATCATCAACCCTGTGAGACTGAAGTAAGGTTTTTAGGTATTCATTTATGTGCCATTATCTGCGCGGCCTCTATCTTCTTCTCTTTTCTTTTTCTTTTCAGAGATGGATTAGACTCACATGGAGAAGACAGATGAAGGGCAGCTATGCCTTAAAAACAGGGCCCGACTTTATGACACAGTTCACTAGTTACACAGCGTTGGACTGCAGCATGCGGCTAACACCAGACTGCAGTCTCTGATTCAAGGGGGTTTTCTATAATTCAGAGAGTCAGAGCAAAAGAACTTCAGAGGTTTCTTTGCAGCCTCCCAAGCGGACGGTTCAAACGCTGCTTGTGCATGCTAACTACAACGTGCACACTCTCATTCAAAAGCGTCCTGGTGTGGTTGTGTGCATTAAAAAACGGGGCGTACAGGTGAGTTCTCCGCAAATATGTGCACGAACGCTTTCACAAACCAGCACGCAGCGGCTCTGTTCTCTGACGGCTGAGACTCAGTTCGAAGGAGGCAGGCTGTCAAATCAACTTGACCAAGCTTAGGAACTGTCAGTGTGTGTTTGTGAACAGCACGAGAGCACGCAAGCCTCTTTGTGTATGCATGCGGTCGCCGGGTTGTGCTCACAGTTACCACGCACCTACAGCAGGATGGTTGAGGGCTGAGTGTTTCATTTACAGACTTAGGATCTCTCCCCTGCCATCCAACAGGCCGCATTTGGTCAATATGTGGGCAAAATCTAGAATACCATTTGAAGAGCAGGAAACACGCTGCAATCCATACGCCTCTGCTCCTAAGCCTCAACCCCAGAAAAGTAAGCGCCTGGAAAAACAGGAAAGGAGGTGAAAGCTAAACCAGATGGCTGGGAGCGGAAGGGAAAAGTGACAGTGAGGGTGAGAAATAGTGGGGGGAGAAGCAATTTGAGGAATGGGGATTGGGGAGAAAAAAAAAGAAGAAGAAGAAGAAAACTGGGAACAGAGTGTCAAAAGAATAGAGGTATCAAGAGAGTGACAGGTAGAAGGATAAGAAATTAACCATGTCGGTGTTTGACGCCTCAAAAAACAAGGAAGGGAGGGGAAAACTGAGGAGTGGAGGGGCGGCAAAAACTCCCCCTTGCTCGTCTTGTTCTTTTCGAAAGCGGTTTCTCTTTGTCTTGCGGGACCGCTTGGAGCGGGATGGGAAAAGACAAGAGAAGAAGAACAACAGAGAGAAGGACCAGAGAGGGAGAAATGAAGGAGGAGGGCAAACAAGGTGACAAGGTGGCAGAGATGTGGCAGGCGAAAGTCTGTATGAAGTCCAGAAGTAATTTTCTAGCACGAGAGCAGAGGCGAGAGGCAACAAAACACAATGTGTTGGCCCGCGTGCACTGTCTACACACCCTCCGGGCCGTCCACACTTTCCGCCTCAAGTATTCATGTGTGTGGGATTAAGAGGGAGATTGAGTGAGAGAGAGAAGAGAGAGAGAGTAAGAGAGAGAGAGTGGGCTGTAAGGTACTTGGTTCATGAGGCACTCAAGTATCAGTGAGGGGCAGGGAGTGCATTGAAAAGCATCTCTGTAGACGCCATAAAGTCATTTAATGTTAATAGATCACTATAACTTGGAGGCATTTCAGCGTTTTTTCGCTGGCAGCACTCTGTCCGCGCAGCAGCAAGCAACTCTGATGCAGCGTCGATCTAACCGCACGCCGCCTGTTACACGAGGAGGGAAGTGCACTTTTACATTTCTAAGCTTGTGTCAGTTATTTCTTCAGCAAAAGCAGAGGAAGCATGTGCAAACACATTAAATGCTCCCTTCGAGTCCAATAGAATTTGAGTTTTACATCAGTAATTGTCTTAGAGAAAAAGCTCTTGCTGTACGTGGGAGTCTATCGTTCTACAATACAAAGTAGAGATGAGTGGAGATTAGTGAAGAACATTCCAGAGGAATGCAAATTGTCCCAGGAGTGGACGCCCCGGGACGTACACCCCAAGGTCAGACCCTGTCCACCCAACCCAACAGTTATATCTCAGGCTGTCTTTTTAAAATCCCAACAAGGGAAATCTAAGTCGGAATCTGATTCTCTTTTAATCTTTTTTTAAAGACCGAGTAGAAGGAATTTTCGACTTTCCATTCATCATTGGACCATAAGTACAGCCCTGCTAACTGCCACTACAAAAGCAAACACTGGTGAAATATTGCACCTAGAGGCAACAGTTCCTAATGTTAGCAGCCACAAAATTAAAGCAAACACGGAGGACTTGAACAACAGGGAAGTCCAGAGTTTATACAGCCAGTATGTGGTGGAGGAATTATGACTTCTTGATGGTTCCGTTCACCACCCAACAAGCAGGACATTCCAGAGTGTGTGTTTTAACAACTTGAGTCAGTACAATACATCACTCGCAACAAGATTTTGCCCAAAAGAGGAAATGGCGGCCCGTCAGTCATCTATGGCCCAAGTTGATTTGACATTTGTCTGAGGAAAAACGTGCGAGTCCATTTTGGTCTGTAGTGCTTGGGTTATTTACTGTATTCACTCTAGTGCATAATAATGCAGGGCTATCAATTCCTAGAGATCTCAAAAGAGACAGACCCTTAGGGGGAGTTGAATGGACGGGGGTCAAGTGGGTAAATCTTTGTCTTAAAATGATTTGATTGAATAGTAGAATGAAATAATGGTTGTGTCTGTTCCTTTTTTATTTTTTCTGTAGACGTTTGAAAAAAGACAATGTATCCTTGTATTTTTTTTCAGTCCATTTTTTTTTCTTACGCAGTTGAGGGGATAAAACATTAAAAAAGACAGCTGAGTGAGCGGCAGGATCCTTAAAGAATTCTTAGCAAATACTCTGAAATTGTGGCACTTAGGCTCAAAAACCTGATAAAAAAAAAACAAAAAAAGAGTGAGTTAGTGAACTGAGGCCAGTATATCGCCAAAACAGATTAAGCATAACTTTCACGGCCACGGCTTCATTTCCCCTTCAACCCAGTGTATCCCAGTGGGGAGATAATCTGGGAAATGCAGTGGTATCAGGTCCTTTCTAGGTTGCCTGAGAAGCCTTGTGAGACCCTCTTGAGATATGAGGCTTTGATATCAGGACCAATTATGTGGTATGGGCACACACACAAACATACGCACAGACACATGCACGCATTCACAAATGCACATAATCTACACACACACACACACACTCACACACTCCTTGTAGTTAGTGTGGGAGAGAGGAAAAACAAAGAAGAGAATGTGATACCAAGGAAACACTGGGCAGGCAGAACATGTTCTGATTTTATCAACCAGTTGAGCTCAGCTTGAAAGCCAGGGACGATACAGACATAGAGGGAATGATAGATTGGAAACCATAAAGGCTGAAACAGACCAAAGAAGGGGGAATGTGTGAGTACTGTGTGAACATAAGCTGAATACACAAAAAGCCCTCTTCAGTGCAAAAGCCTTGCCGCGCACAATCGGCTGAAGAAGAAAACACATGCATTGGGCATGTGGGCATTTCTGTCATCCTGATATATGTGTGAGCACCCCTAAACTGTGTGCACCGCATACAGGCTGGCCACGCGGCCTCTCTCGACACGCACACAATCTCGCTTAAAAATATATGCGATAAACAGTTGTTTCCGGGAGTCACCTCCATAGAGGATCCCTTAAGATTAAGTCTGGCCTCTGGCTCTGCTAATTGGAGCTTAAAGTCTGGTGGAGCCCCTGGGCAGTGTGTGCTGCGCGCGGAGCGTGCCGTGTGCGCTCGTGTGTGTGCCTGCGTATAAATAATGGATGGGAACGGCTGGAGGAGAGTGGCCACACAAGCTGCAGCAGACAGAGCCTTCAAAGAGACCGAGACGGGGCCAAAGCAACCGCAATCGCAACTCCACCACATGTCAAAGACAGGTGGTTTGATAGAGAAACAGAGGACGGAGCAGAAGATGGAAAGATGACGGCAATATTAAACACAGAAGAAAGATGAGGGAGGAAATAATGGGACAGCAGGAGGAGGCAATCAAAGTCAGAGGAACACATGAGCAGAAAAATCCAGATACTAATGGTGACATGACTGAATTATTCATATGCAGACTTCTAATTTCAGATAGCTTTGCTTTATCACTGCTATCTTTGTACTGTTAATATTTTCCAGTTAGTAGTGACCTATATACCTGCCCTCAAAGTAAGCACTGAGACAGCAGAGTTTTCAAGGAAGTTAACCAAACGTCAAAATAAAAATTTGCGTTGCATACTTAATGCTGCGTCCAGTACACAAACACTAGAAATGTGGACAGTATTTGAGTCTTAAAAATAATATATAAAGAGAAACAGGAAGAGGGCCCCTGTCCGTGCTTGAAAGTAAAAAAATTCAATAGTAGAAAGGACATTCAAAGGTCTGCAATAACTGGTCTTTCTTTTTTTTGTGTATTGTATCTAAAACTTTCCAACATCCTAAGAAAAAGCTCAGTATTTTTCAGCTCATACAGGTCACTGCAAACTCGACTAGATAACATTTTATCTGCATAATCAAACATAACATTTCCCAAAGACGTATTCAACAAAAACCAGCTGCCTCGGTATTCTGTGAAGAAGTTAAACAGGGACAGTTGGTGGTGATTTTATCCTCCCTTTTGTTCTGTGCTTTCAATTGGCATTCAAAAGCAGTTCAGGGAAATAGTTTGAAAACAAAAAAACCTGTAGCGTAGAATCGAGGGGGACAGTTTTAATATCCAGTTTACCTTGGCCAAAAAAATAACCCTTTTCAAGTATTTTACCATTTAATTTACCCTCAAAAAGCAGGGAGATTTAGACATTTTGTTTTTTCTTCACTAACACGCCAGATGGTGTTCTTTGTATGGATCAACTTAGTTTGACTTCATCTTTAATTACAAGAAGCTGAAATTGAAATTTAAGGTTTTAATCCGATCTGTTATTATGTTTTTTTCATTTATCCACTGACATTCATACATGTGAAAAGAACTAATTCTAAAAAACTTGGAAAAAAGTATTTAACATTTCCTGCCGCATCTGTCTTTATGAAATAAAACTTTTCTTGGTGTCAGTGCGGTTTCATAACAAGTGTATCTGACTTGTGTCCCTGTCATATTTAATTACATTTCATTGTATAAAATGACAGTTGGATAGAAAAACAAAAGGTGGTGTGAATCGCTAGTTCAGTTGAGCTGACAGGAAATAATACTCTGCTCTTTTATAAATTGCTAACACAATTTCCCAATGCGAAATACCACCATTGTTGGCTACTAAAACTGACATCTAACACATATATATGGCACCACATGTGTAAAATGGAGGACATATAATGCACATCGCCACAGTTGCAAGAGAAATCAAAATCAGAACTGAGCATTTAGCCGTTGACACACTGATAATGAACTGTGAAGCACCCTGTGGCCTTCGGCCATTGTGCTTTCCGACAGCACTGTCTGGAAAGAAGGCAGTCGCACTGGAGAGGCGCGAGGAGGAGGTGTCACCTGACACACTTTATACTACTGTGCTACAGTGCATGCACTTCAAGTATGGAGATTAGTTACACCGGAGACCCCATATTTCCTATCGCCTTCGTCCTCCACTACTACTAAGTTGGGTTCGGGCGAGGTTGCGTCTGAGCTGCACCTTGCCCGGATCGTTTCTGAAAGTGAGTTAACGTGTTGGTCCTTCAGAGGTTTGACATGTTGCCACCGTGAACTACGAACAAAGTCAACGACACACACACAAACTGACCTGAGCGACATGATCTTGTACGCGTCTGGCAGGTAGCATCGGGTGTTCTCCATCTGGGCCGGGTCCGAGTCGCAGATCTTGTCATCCGTGCGGCCGTAGTTGGCGCTCTCGATCATGATGACATCTGTGCCCGGGCAGCGCAGTTCGATGGGGTAGGACTCACAGGACAGCTCCCTGCGCACAACTGCCATCGGGATGGGGGCACGGCCATACACTGGGCACACACAAAAACACGCGCACTGTCACAAAACCCGCCACCTGCTCCAGCGGCAACTGTTTGCTCTCGTTAGCGAACCATCAAAAAGCACCCAGACCTAATAAAAGAGCCCGTTTGGATCTCTGGCAGTAGATTGAATTGTACGAGGACAAATTGTGTTTGGCCACGACTCTATTTGTAACCCCTGTCGTAGAGACTCGATTATCCACAATACACAAAAACGACAGCATCGGTGTAGATTTTTCATGAGGGCATGCCCACTGTCGTGAGCGGACCCAATAGGTAATTATTGCTTTGTAATTATCTGTTTTGGATCTCTTTTCAGATGTTGGATAATTGCCTGGGCATTTTAACGGACACTTAGAGCTGTAGCGATTACTCAAAGATGGCAATGCATAATTATTCCCAGAAGTTGGGAGCTTGATGCATGCATCCACATCAGTGAGATAAGAAAACATGTCATTAGCTCCAGTGTCACTGAAGCTACAGGCCTTTTTGGATGTTTTTCGTGTCGGCACAGTCTAACTTGACTTTGGAAGAAAAAAAACAAGAAAAAAAAAAACAGTTACCGGCAGAAAACGCAGCCATGACACAGAGCTCCTGTAAAAGTGTGATGTCAGTGGCGTGGGGCTGGCTGATCCCAGCTGTTTTGGCTGTTGCGGTGGAGCTTGGATGTTGTTATTCTTTGTTGTTCAGAGCTGCACTCCCTGGGAGGATCAGCTCAGATCCCTTGATAGATAGATTATTAGCTGAGGTGTTCATGTGAGTTTTTTTTCTTTTTTTCTTTTCTTTTTCCATCACATAAACCCTTCTTTGATATCAAAGTAGACTTGTTTTTTTTACCTTACTATATACTGTGTGTCAACAACTACCTCCCCCTGAGTAAACCCATCAGAGTATATTTTCCATATCCTGAGCAATATAAACATGATGAATTCTCACTGCTGAACACAACAAATTAAATCAGGAGAAAACTAATGTTAAGGGCAAAGTCTTTCTACAATTCGCTCCCCTACGTTCAACTTGTCAGAACCTTTCAAATTAGTTCCTGAAAGCACAGTCACATGTGCGCGTGCCAACACTGTCGGGTGTTGAGACACCACATCTGAAGCACAATTGTCAGACACAAACCTCCAACATCCCCCGAAAAGCGAGCCGCACTCCCACCTTCTTCGCTCTCCTTGTCGCGGTAACCATGGAAACCCTTTCCTCCCTCCCTCCCTTTGCTCTTTCATTCGTTAGGAGAGCGTCGTGGTGACACATATGCAGCAAAGAATCTGAATGAGCTCAATGACACTCTGCCCGGGCTCAACTTAATACTGCCCTTCACCACAGCTCCCGCACGCACACGGAGGCGCGCGTGCATACAAATGCTCCAAATGATGGAATTTCTGGGAGGTAACACACAGCCGGCGTTGGCGATATCTGTGCAGTGTCAGTACCTGAGGGCACAACACTGATAATGGCAGGCCCTAGCTTAGAGATAGGACTGATATATAAGTGACATTTACTCAAAATGTCCTCTTTAATGAACAGACACATGCGCGCACATGTAGGTACATCGCTGCAGGCCATGATTAGGCCTTAAGCACTCAGTCAGACGGAGCCCGTCTCTCCGGAGTGGGTGAAGAAATGAGGGGCATCTTTTGGTTTCTGGAAGTGTGCGCTTTGGTGCTCAGGGCACTGGGCCAATAATGCCTTGACTAAAGTGTTAGTTAGTTTGTTTGGTTTTTTTCGATGGCCGGATCAAAACAGCTTTTCTGAGTGTGAATATATGTCGGGGAAGAAAAGGGTTAAATGAAGCATGCAGGGATGAGTGCAAAGTATTGTGAGGCAGCTGTCTAAACTAGATTCTGATAAGATGTCTTACAGCGCTGCCTTCTGGGGGTCCCCGTTGGGCATAAAGCAGCATTATAACGAGAAAACCCATACAAAAAATGTGCCTACTAAATTTAAAGAAGATTTGATCTGCATCTCAACTTTATTTAAACAGGAAACACAATACTTGGATATAAACCAAATTTGACTAGAGTAGCACAGTTAGCAGATTAAATCACGTGCAAAAAGAAAGATCATCTGGTCCTTACTAGGGTGAACATGAGGTTATTACAACTTGAAATGAATAAAAACACAAGAGTTATTATCTTGTGTTTTGGTAATCAAACTGTAGAAACATTATGTTAAAAACTAAGCGCCCTCCATGATTAAATACCTTGTTTTTTGCAGCAATAAGTGAACTGCGCAATACTTCAACTGAGGTAATAGTTTTCTGTATAATGTTACCGGTCTCATCATTGTGGAGTAATTTTAGCTCACTTTTCTTTACAGTGTCGCTTCAGTTCATTGATGCATTTGCTTTTCCACAGCTCTCTCAAAGACCCGCCACAGCACTCAATCAGGTCAAGCCTTTGGTCTTTGACTGGGACATTCCATTAGCTTGATTCCCTTCTTTTTTTTTCAGCTATTCTATTATGGCCGTTGTGCTTGAGATCATTGTCCTGATGCATTACCTAATTCTAACCAAACTGCAACTGTAAGACATACCGGAAAACATTCAAATCCAGAACACTGTGGTATACAGGGGGAGCTCAATGAATGCAAGGTGTGCAGGCTCTGTTCCTGGCAAACAAGCCCCAATCAGCCTTTGTGCTCATATGATGGTTTTCTCCAAATGTGCATCTGTCCAAAGGACATTGTTCCCCAATTCCGCAAAACCTAAGCTGTGCTGTCATGTTCTTTGACAAATGAACGTCTTTTCTCCTGGAACTTTGCCAAACGAGGCATACATTTTCAGTCTTTTAATGGCTGTCCTGTCATGAACTGTAACTAAAGATGCTGACTAAAGCCGGTAGAGTCTGAAATCTAGCTCTAGGCTTGTTAGCCAATATCTCTGACCACTGCTTGACCTGAACGCGGAGAGAATTTGCTGGAATGTCAAATCCTGCAAAGATTGACAACTGTTCTGACCGACTTCAAATAGACTGAGGAGAGGCCCGAGTGGCTGCTATTTCAAACTAGGTGCAACCACCAAAAGGAACTAAAGCCTCTGTGCGTCGGTCACCCACCCAAAGAGTTGGGATTTACGGTTAATAATCGATTTCTATGATTTTTCACACCCTATATGCTGAGCGACACAGGATTTATTCTACTTTTAAGTATAACATTTGCATTATCTAAAAGTTACTATATTCTTCATTCGACTGTATGTGTTATAAATATTGCATATAACTGGTGAAGGGCAATTTCAAACTCCTCAGAGCTGAAGAGACAGACTCAGTTAATCCCATCACCCTTTGACTTTTAAGCAGGGATGAGTCAGATTTTGGTTTGTTTGTCAGAGAAAAGCAAAGTCAGACAGGAGGTCATAAAGCAGGCGTGGGTAACTTTAGCTCTCAAGGGCCACAGCCCTGCAGGTTTTAGATGTTTCCGTGGTTCTGCACGCCCGGTTCAAGCCAACATAACATCAGCGGCCTCTTAAAACGCTCTGTTAGCTGAACATCCTCCATGAAAACTCGTGTTGTGTACAATTCCTGCCACTTGAGAATAAATATGTTAAAAGACACTATTGTTTTGAGTTATTCAGTGCTGCTTAATCCATATGAGCATATAAATAATATAAAAACATACTATATAAAAAAGCAAAACCTCACTAACATTATCCTTTTTTTTGTTCATCCCATTGAGATGGATATATATAAAAAAGTTAGTTAGAATGAAGGTGTGCAGGGGTGGGGTGTCATGACATTTTAAGGTCTTCATTATACACCACCAGCGAATACTTTTAAAACCATCAGTCGAAAGTGCATCAAATGAATCATAATATCATCATAACTGGTTGTAAAGTGACAAAGTGAAGTCAGTTAGAAAGCACTCTGCCTCCATAAGAAGAACTAAATGTCAAGACTAGCACGTAATCCGGTCTCATCTGTCACCGTGTGGGTCATTGTCTTCCATCAGCTGCTTCCCCTATAGAAATCTGAAAATTGCCTGAAAACTATTCCCACCCTGCATATTTCACTTGGTTGCAAATAAGAATGTTCAGTTACTCAGCACCTTTGGATGCCAGACACAATATAAATACATACGGTTTGTGCCCATGTTTAGCTCCGCACCTTTGCCCACATCTAATAATGTCGAGCTGTAAGTGCATGTTAATGCATCTGTCATTAGTTGTGTAAGTGGTGACAGAAACCTGGCAGCTGCTCATAGTACAGACAATCGTATTCAGACACTCTCATTGCCTCCGGGGGCTGAAACAAAAGGTTATTGATTTCTACATTTGGGCCAAGAACAAGAGAGTGGCGAAAGAAGTGGATAGATGGAAAGAAGGAGAAAGAAAGGGGGAGATGAGAAAAGAGAGAGATTTAAAAGGTGATATCTCACTTGAACTGCCGAAGCGTTTGGCCCGTGCCGGAGTCTTAAATATGCGCCTTTGAGAATAAGAAATACCTTCGAATATTTTAAGAGCAAAAACATTATTTTAAAGGTAATTCTCCTCTTTTGTGTCAATAAATGCTATGAAAAGAGTTGGGGGGGGGGGGGAAATGAATAGCACGTTACTAACAGAATATTTTTTACTGCATTCTTTAAGCTGCTTGTTGAAATGGAAAATTGTCACTCCATCACTATTACTACTACTTATAACTGTACTGCCACCACCGTGCTTGACTTAGGGCCACTGATAATGACCTTTTGCTCAGTGTCTGGTTCAACCAAAATGTATCAAGACGTCGTTGTGCACTTGTTTATGATCAGAGGAAACTTGAGGACTGCATAGTAAAACGTCCGATAAGGACATAGCTACAGAGCTAATCACACATTGGCATTTTGTTCTCTTTTTGATCAAAGCTCTTCTTTCTCAATAACAGTTTGACCCTAAAACTTAAAACCAGAGATGTGGATCTTTGTATCTAGCAACAAAAACTACCTGGATTATAATTGTTCAGCATGTTTTCAGCGTGCTGTTTAAAGCATGTATAAATCACTGCATTCTACTATTATTACATTATTATACAGCACCAGAGCCTTTTTTGTGTTTTTTTTAGAGGCTGTGGATAATTATGGGAGCATGTGAGCTTTTTCTAACTTTCAATGCCTGAGAATTTTTTCTTGTGTCCTTCTCCGGATTTGTGCCTCTAAATCATTTTCTCCA